ATACGGAGTACCCAGAAGATGAACTGTCACTGCTCGATGCTCCACCAGAGCTACTGCCGATTCTTAACGAACGCTCTGGGTTGGAAAGAAATAGGATCATGAACCATTTAACAATACAGGCGTCCTGTGTATAAAACTTCAAGTCACATTTGTCTCTGGCATTCATCCGATATTGTGTCCGGAGAATGTTCTTTTGAGACAGAATGTACAGTTGGGCAGGCCAGAATGTTGCGTTTTTTTATCACAATGTGAGACCAGTGCATTTGTATTATGTACTGTATAAATGTTACAGCATTTGGGATGTTGCATCGCGTAGTTTTGTAGAAATTGACCGACGTTTCACAGGTGTCTACTTTTCTCAGATGATTGTTGATCAAACGTGTGAAAAGTCTGCCAGTTTCTACGAGACTACATCATCGCTCTGATAACGGAGGCAGTAGAATTATCTGAAAAGGTTAATTTAAAACGTGACTACGCGGCGGAACATGCCAGAAGACGGCCATCTTTATATACGTCACAGCGAAAACCTGAAATTTCACAAAAGGAAATTTACCACCTTTTGGAGTACCTCAACTTCCTCGCGTATTAAACTTACTGAAATTACGTTTGATAGTTTTTGAAGTTAAACACAGAGACGAAAGCCGCGACTCGAGTTCGTCCAGATAATCCATAGTAAACGCTGCAGCGAACGCCAAGCCTGCAAGTCATCATCGTCAGTACCGGTTCATCTTAATTCAATGAAAGATCTCATTCTTGCCTCCCACCCCACGAACTTCGTAACGGTACTCGTCATGACTTAATCATGTCCGTGTCCGCGATTTGTACATCACCTGGCTTGACCGATTTGTGATGTCATCATACCACTCAGAATTCAGATATTTTCAGAGAAATAAAGGGAACATGTTAAATTCGAGGTATACTTGTTCTGTATAGTTCATAATATTTTTCTTTCCCGTGTGATAACAAAAAAGAATAAAGATTACACACCGCGCGCGAAAAGGTCGGTTCAGGAGACATCGCGGAAGCTTACTCGATTAAATTTCACGTTCTCACAGTGACTGTATAATGATTTGTGTCTGTGGTGGAGGGAATTGTTACAATCTGATTCAAGTAAACTACCCTTTGACCATTCTATCTGATGATAAATGGCACAAACAACATTTAGATTGCTCGAGATAATTTTTTAATTTTTTTATTCGTGTAATCTGTAACAGGTGGGACAGCACCGCAGTTGAGTCGACTTTAAAACAATTAATTGCGTATGTTCGTTTACCAAAAGGTTTTTGAAACATCGTTTCTATTGTATGAATTTTACCAACGTTTTGGAGGAACTTGTTACCTCCATCTTCAGGGACTTCTGCCCTGAATTCTTATCACTTTTGAATCTAAAATGTCTCGCAGTCAGAATTTGTTAAAAAGATCAATAAACGCCCTGTTGTTATGAAACCAGAATGTTCAGTGCCTTAACATTCTCAGGATATTGTCGTTTCTCCTTTGCGACTTACCGCTGTGTTCGGCCAAGGGGGTGGCCATGATGGCGACGATGCACCCCAGAATCACAACAGCACAGCGCGCGTCCATGCTGTTCCAGCACTATACGCGCAGACGCTGCTCTGACACCTATATATATAGGTTCCGGTTATTTGCCTCGTGCTGAAGTTCTTTTCTTCTCTAAGTCCCGGTCCCGCAGAGCACGGTGCAGTCATGCTCAACTTGAGATGGTCTTAAAATGTTAATCGGCTAGTTCCTTTAAGTTCTTTAGTCAAAGCTGTACCCAGACTGATTCGCTATTTGTTCTTCTACGTTGTTTAATTCAAACGGCCTGGTTCTTAAGCTGATCCTACAGATTGCTTAGCTTAAGCTATAAATGGCGTTATTCTCAAACTTTCGTTAGCTGCTTAGTTCAAGTGCTAATCATTGATTCTGAAACAAACTGTTATTCTTGGATTTTTCAGTGAATTATTTTAATTCGTCTGATTTGGACGGTTATTTATGTCTGTCGTCAATAAACAAACCAAATATATTTCTAGGGAGTGAAAGTAAACCATCATCATTAACACTGAAATGGCTTTTCTTTATATCAGATGGTAAGATAACGTGATTTTACTGGAATTAAGTTCAAATATTTCCTTAGCCAAAGACGCAAGTTCGTCATTGCCTCTTGGATGCACGGATTGAACATTGAAGCAGGAGAGACGCATTCTTGCCAACAGACTGTTATTTCCCCCAAGGTTACGCAGTGAATGGCCGGCCAGGCAGTAAGTACAGAGGGTTGCATTTAATAACGAGGAACTTCGCACTTTGACCGTTTCAGACTGATTGGCGCCTTTATGTCTACGCCTGTCTCCCAACAGATCTATTTCGTTTAGGTTCTCCAACCAAAATTTTGTTTTGTTTCGTATTTCTTTAATCCCCGTCTCCTTAATGTTTATATGATCGCCGTAATAATTTGGGTCTATGTTTGCCACAATGCTGGAAAATACCGAAGACCAAGAAGAGAACAGTGTGCGAAAGGAAGAAATCGGAAAGGACGCGAAAATAAAGAAACAAAGGCAATAAGGTTTTGTGCTTGAGAATATTTACGTCTATTGTGTGCCTTGCAGCAATGCGTAGTCGAATTCAAGTTGAGCGCGCCTGGAGCTGTCGCTACCGGTAACCTACATTCCAGTCGTAACATTGCCCTTTATGGCCATTTTGTGAAGATGATGTGAAGATGACAGGTGTGGGACCATCCATTGTTCACAACTAGGTCGCAACTCGCAGGTAAAGTGAGGTTATGGGATGATTTGACATTGAGGCCAGCAGGGCTTGGTCTGTCCCTTTCGCCCACGGATGTTGTCTTAATTTTGTGTCAGAAACGGAAAGCAGACTCTGTTAAATTCACATCGTCGTGTCTCATACAGATGGTCGCTGGTATTCGTTACACCCGTTGAACGTAGTATTGGGAGTTCTCTGGGAATTTAAACAAGACTAGGTATCAGAGAGTGCAGGTCCTGGGAACCAGACGAATAAAGGTCGCCATGTAGATGTTACTACTCGTGCTTTGTATTCGGGAGGTCTAAAGAAGATCTGTCTCCACAGAGACAGATACTTTAAAATATACTCCAGCTACTTCCTTCCCAGTTCTTTCCCATTTATCATTCATTATCATATTACCATTTACCTTATATATAGTTGGTAAAGCGTCATTAAATAAACCAAGAAACAAGAGAACAACAGAATGGCGAGCATTTCATAATGAGGAGCTTCATAAATTTTGCTCTTTGTGTAATACAGGTAACCCTCGATTTACGCCGGGGGATGTGTTCCTGGACGAACCGGCGTAAATTGAACCGGCGCAAATCGAGGGTTACATGTATTTTTAGGCCAAAGTATGGTGGGTGGGACATGCAGCACACATGGAAGGAACAAAATAAAACATGAAATATGAGTTGGAAGGTCGCAGAGGAAGACCAGGCCGTGGATGGGAGGATATTATGAAAATGTTTCATAGAGAAATGGGTTGTGAGATTTTGAACTGGATTGAGCTGGTTCAAGGCAGGATATGGCTCTCGTGATGACAACGGTGGGAATGGTGGCTGCTGAATAAATATTCTGTACTGAGCTGAAATTTAAAAGTTACCTTGAGGCAGTTTCAGCCAATCGGAGCTGATGATTTGCTTGAAAGACCAAATAAACGTCTTTAACTATTTAAGTGTTCATCAGCCCAAATGTGTTCAGGACAAAGTTGCAGATCATAAAAAGATAAACTAGAGGGCATTATCCTATCTTCCAGTGTGCTGATGCCAGTCAGTTGTATTGTTTAATTAAATTTATTTCTTTTGTTTTAATTAGTAATATTTTCATATCTATTTGTTTTTTACGTTAGGATTGTTTTTGGATTTGTCTTCTGTTCATTTCAGCAATCATATGGAGCAAATATGACATTAACGAGGACCTGTGCGTGTCTACTTTGATGTCCTACATCTCTGAACATTCCAACTCATTTCCTTGCCTGGTCGGAGAAGGCTTCTCATCAGATCTGAAAGCCGAGATGGTTCTGTTCCTTGTAAGTGACTTGTCTATATAAGGTATATTTGTAGAAGGTAGTACGAGGCACCATGAAACACCAGGTTCTGTAAGATCTTCCCAAGGTTTTGAGATAAATTTCTGTAATGGCAGATTTCATCATTTACCATGAAAATATATTCCTCGAATAAAGTCTGTTTGAATCAAAAGATGTATACATGGCAATTTAGAGACGGATACGATTCCATCTTCAGGTTAAGGGTATAGACACTTATTCTACATGACCTGTTCGAATCACATCCATTATGAACGCCAGTCTGAAAGAAATTTCATTTTGAAAGAACAGCTGAAAGCTTATTTTTTTTTCCAAATAACTGATCTGGCAAAGGAAATTCATTGAATGGAAGATTTTTGAGTGAACACAGTATGGAATCTTAAAACGTTGCATACCGTGCGGTGTATTGGAATATAAAATCATGCGTACAAACAGCTGTTTACACTTGAAAGGACACTAATTTGTTTTGCCACTGACGATGACCTCTTGAGGTCGAAACGCATTTGACATTAGTGTCCTTTCATGTGTAAACAGCTGTTGGTACGCATGGTTTTATATTCTAGCACAGAATGTAGTTTGACAAGATTTTCATTTGCACTGTTTTGCGTCTTTAAGTAACTGCCATTTTTGGATTTTGTTACATCTTAAGGAGAAGACGGGTCTTGGTAAGGATTTTTTTTACTGTGGGTCTGATTTAAAGCTACTAGTTTCATCAGATTACCTTGATTAATTTCTGACGATTCAGAATGCGATTTATCTACATTGTTTGAATGGGAGTTCTCAGAAGAATCATGCAGGGTCAGCAAAAGAATTACTGTTTTTATTAACGCTCTGAAGTTCCTGAAACGTCGAACCTAATTGTCAGGGAATTATGATGGTCAACGCAAACTGATGGCTGGCAACCAGAATTCTAAATAAATCCAGATATGCGGTAGAACATTTATAAATTGCTTTTTATATTTTGTGTATGAAAATCTGTTTCAGTTTGGGAGTTTCAGTAGTGTTTTTTGAGTCCAAAACTTTTATTTGGGCAAAGTCATTGGCTGTCATTGGGAATCACTGGCCCAGTGATATTCAGTGATGGAAGCTGCAATACCAACTCCCCCCCCCAAAGTAATTGCATTTTTTTTAACTACCTGAAGGATACTTCCGATCTCTCTGTTGAAAACCACTAAAGATGCTATTTAGAGGGCAGGGCTTATGGATTTAGACTTTTCTCCCCCTGAATTCTTTTGGACATTTCCCACTGCCTTGACAGAATTTAGCGGTGAAAGGAATGTTGTGTGGTGGAAGTGTTAAGATTTAAGTAAATATGTAATTTATTTAAATATTGAAGTATTTTTCAAATCTCCCCTTTCCTCGAATTAAATTCTATATATGCAGCTGATTCCACTGCTTTGCTTTTGTATAATGTTAGGTCCAAGTTATGAAATGCAGTTGTTGTTTTTTTCCATCGTGACGTACTGACACTGCTAATGACGTTAGTTCTTCGTTGTTTTTGTTTTGTTTCCAGGCACATAAGTACATGATAGATTTTCAGTCCACTCATTGCACCCCACTTCCTGCCAATATGTTCCGGTTACCATGGGAACTATCTTCAGAATTAGAGTATGTGAAGGTATGAGCCAGACATGGTCGATCAATATTATATTTGTAATTAAACTTATTGGAAATATCAAATTCATGGTTTTCTCATATGTAGTCTGGTAGATACTGAGTACGTGGTGCTATGTCTCAGAAGACAGACTTTTTGTTTTTTTAGTTTATAGCACAGGTAAGTGAATATTTATAGGGACTTTATTGTGATTTGTTGCTTGTTGTCGAGTACCGCCACATCAGGGTTTATGTTGTATCGATTTTCACTTTTTTCTCTGCATTTAATTGTGCACTCAAATCACTTAAACTTATGTAGCTATTTTAACTTCAACTTCAAAATTTATGTTGGGGAAAATTCTGATAATAAAATGTATAAATTTGTGAGTGGGTCAGCCATTCTTGGCTGTGAAATTGAACTAAAGATTTATCCATCGTATGTTCTTTAAAACCACGACATTTCGGAGGCTGCTTCTGTCTCCGTCTTCAGGTGAGAGGTACGTACTCTGTTTGGATCTCTGTCACTGGACCTGTCCTGACAATGAATAATTTTAAGTGTAAACTACCGTCGTCAAAACCCTTTAGAATAGAAATTTATGTTTTGTTTGTTAATGAAATTACACAGAATGTTATGAAATTGTTATATACCACGTTTAAGTTTATGACAATAACATATCTCATTGATACACAACCAACATGGATGATAAAGCATTATTAAATAAACAAACAAGGATGCATTTGACTATCTGTTGGGAAATAAAATGTTGAAGTGTATGCTAATAGCGGTGAAAAAGTTGAACTCATTATGAAGTGCATCAGAAAAAAAAGACACAGACTTGTATTACAGGGCAGAATAATTACCCTATAAAAGGTAATTTCATTTCAGAAAAATTCACAAAAAATTATAATTTATGTTATTTTATATTCTGTCATCCTTGTTCATTCCATTTTGTGGCATTTTTGGGTTGTTCAAACAACATGGTTTTTCCGGCTAGTTCCGTCATTTTCTGTAAGTTCCGTGACTTGCGTGTTTGATATTTGATTCTTTCATCATGTTTAAGCACCGTGAATATATTTATAACACCGACTAAATGCTATAAATATGGAGAAACAAGCTGACAGTATAGAGCACTGATGGAAAGAAGAATAATAATTTATTAATCATTTGTCATCTTACTGACATCTCACATGACTCACCTTTTAAACATAAAGTAAATTCCAAATTATATACACTAATGAAGGGGAGGAGATGCACAAATAATCAAAGAAACACGAATATCCAAAATATTTTGTTTGGTGTTTTCATAAAACTTAAAAAAATTACGTATTTTCTGAACACAACTGACCTTTATTTTGAGAAAAAGTTTGAAATGTTCAGATTTTTCCTCATGGCAGTGCTAATTTTTCTGGGGACTGTAATGTCACTGTATTTGAACCCTCTCTGCCCCATGTAGTGTAGTAAAGCGTCAACACACTGTAGCGCCATGCTGTGTCTGACACACTCGCTGTTTTCTCCTCCTTCTTAACTCTCATCCTCCCCATCCTCTTCTTATGTATTATATTTCACAGTGTCTCCATCTGTCATGTGCTATAAACAAAATTCATGCTCGTCACTCTGTGGTCAGTATTCCGTATTATATTTGTTGATGTTTTTAGAATTTATCATATTTCACGTCAAGAATTTCAGACTTCTTGTAGATTTTTAACAAGTTTCTTCCATGATCAGACCAGTGTTACTGGATTTACGGAAGACCTCGCTCAAGATACGTCATCCAGAGCATCCAACATCATAATTTTCTTTATAATCCTATTGTGTTGCCTTAATTAGCAAGAATTCTGAGCTCAGCTCATTAGCATAATTTTACTGACATAATCTTTCAATCCCTATCCTGTAATCTTTGGCTAATTTTGTCACCAATTGTCAATTTTTAACTTTTTCAATTAACGTGAGCCTTTGGTTTACTGTCAGTACCATATCTTACAATTTTCAGCCATGGACCCACGAGTGTTATCCTTCACTTTCACCTAACTGACGCAAAGTACAGCGTAACAGAATTGATTCTAAGACGCTAATATTTGAAAATATTAAGTGCACCCCTTGTCACTACCATAACCATTAGAACTAAACTCCTCCCCACTAATACTGGCCACAAAGTACCGATAAAGACAGGTATCGTTCAACCAGATCTTTTGTAGACTCGTCTAAAAATAAATCCTCACCCCCTGAAGCAGACGTTACAGTGTGGAAAGTTGATTAAAGCCTAGTTCTTGTTTATGTAAAGGAGAAGTTATGCAGATACTCTATTCATGGATAATTGGTAGCCTACTGCGAAGCAAATGGCTGTTGAAATAAGTAAGTAGGTTAAATTATAAAGCGAGCAAGCTATGGCTGTTGTAAGATTTGAAGTTTTCACAGCGACGAGTATGAAGATTTCTGTCTTCTGGGTTGTTGCGCTGTGTAGTCTGGTCGATGTTTACCAACGTTTCGGAGGTCATACTGCCTCCGTCATCAGGGCGATGACGGTGGCAGTATGACATCAGAAACGTTGGTAAACATCGACCAGACTACACAGCGCAACAACCCAGAAGACAGAAATCTTCATACTCGTCGCTGTGAAAACTTCAAATCTTACAACAGAGATTAAGTTACATAGGTTCCCTTAGTCCTCTTTTAGTGTCAGTGTTATAAGGCCTACAGATATTTATATTGTGCCACGGCACATTTTCTCATCATTTCCATATACTCCCATATTTATCAACTCCACTGATGTTACTTTTAGTATTACTTCTCTTTCAAGAAGTTATGAATAGAGTTTGTGTTGATTGATGTGGGTCTCCTTTAGCTCTGGTGCTGGAATGGTATAAAGAAAGTAGAATGAATATTTATTTTATTGTACTAGTATTTTTATAACTGTATATAATTGTGTATATGATTAGTTTTGACTATTGTATCTCTAAAGGAATTTGTCCAAAAATTTAATGTGTTACGTGTTGTGTTATGAAATAGAAATGTACAGATAACAAAATTCAGGTATTAAAGTTTGGCGTTCATGTGTTCCTGGTGTTAATAAGACCCAACAACAGTGAATGATGTGTGATCTGAAGCTTTCACGGTGACTAAGTATAATGAATTCTTCTTGGGTTACGAGCCATGTCAGGTGGTATAATGGAGAAAACACTAAATTTTTGAGAACCATCTTTGTCCTTGTCCTCTGGGTACTGAACTTCAGTAGCCTGAGAAGAATTTATTAAACAATGAAATCCAAACAATCCAAATAAAATTGCAAGAAACAATATCAATTGTAGTCTGTGCTTGAGGGGATTAAATTCTGGAAATGCTTGCTACTTCTCAGTTCAAAATATTTTGTCTTCCCGTCTGAGTTCTAAGAACCTGAACATTAAAGTGTACAATACAATAATCTTGCCTGTTGTTTTGTATGGGTGCGAAACATGGTCTCTCACTC